GATATGACAGCTAACCGGCAGCAGTAGCGTACTCGTCGTCATTTCTTATCAGGTCAGAATGCTTGAAGCGGTATGTGTGCAGTCTGACTGTGTTGACCATAGTGGTTCACCTCCCTTCCTCAAAATAGGTCGAATCCCTGTCCACCTTAAATTTTACCACTAACCTTGTATACATTGCAAGTTCAGTGAAGTTCGCTTTACTGTATTTCGCTGTACGATGATGAGTGAGGCATATCTGGGAGATCGTTTCGGACTAGATTACTGTCGCTCGGAAAACGGGGAACGGTTATCGGCTCCGTATTCCAACCACCGCCTATTCCCCGCCAGTAGGAACTTCAGACGATCCAACTGCCGGTGAGCCATTTGGCGTTCACCCTCCTTCAGTCAGCGACGAATGTAAATCGACATCGTTATAAGCCACAGATGGCGAGGTTGCATACAACGTCGACCGCATTGGAATCCGACCACGCATTAGTTTGCGGTGCCTTATCACCCTATCTTTTTGCGATTTACATCAGTGACTCACCTATTACTCAAGCCTGTAAGGCATTTCAAGTATGGTAAGTAAGTAAGTTAGTAAGTAAGTATGATATCGCCACCTCTCAGTATCTAACCAATCAGAACGCCTATGTATGACGCAAACTTATATCACCTCGTAACGTATTCAACTTTATCCGGTTTCAATCTTGATTCCGAAAAATGCCTTGAATGTACTTCAAACCGTTTCCCATATGTACAGATTCAGGGGAAGCTGATGAGCAGGGTGAGCCATTTGAAGTACTTAGGTGTCACACGTGAAAGTAACCTTCGCTGGTTTTTACATACCATGACTATTGCTCGCAAGGTGAAAGTTCTCTGTTTTCAGATAAGAAGACCACACCAATCCTGTTTTGATTTGTCGGTAATAGACTTTGTTCAACATGTTATCCCTATACTCCTTCACTGCTCTCCTGTGATTTTTCCCGGGTGTGCTGAGGGCCGATTATAAGCTGCTGAGGCGTGCCCCCCTCAATGATCAGTCGTTTCCCGAGTTCCTTTATCAGCTCTGACTAACAATGTCTGCGGTGATCAAACTGATGTGTGCTTGAAGTTTGTTGACAATATTTTATTTGACTGAACCCATCCTTTACACATTAATCTGTGTGCATGCAAATCCCACCCGTCCACCAGTCCTAAATACAAACTCATCCCATCTTGTATATCTGCCTCCAGAAACCCTTTGGTACCCTATCTTACCCAGCCACTGACCGGCAGGGTCTTCCTTCTGAGCATTAAGTAGTTAATTCACATTCTTGCATACTTTCCACCCACCCACCCCTTTATGCCACTACTGTGGCTGTGGTCTCCTATTGGCTGAAAGCTTGTATATAACTCGATGAAGATTCAATGCAGTACAAGCTGTTCATGTGCTTCGGTGAGCGTTCTGAACGCACTACACACCGACGGCTCGAGTCCGTTAAGTTTTTTAACGGACATGCCTAACCGTCTTTCGGGACGCAATATTTGAAAAGATGGAACCAATGTTAACGGATACTATCAGTCATCGCTGGTCGCTTATCAAGAATCCTCTGCATTCTGCTAGCTTAGCAAGTTGTGGCCTGGCAAGTCGTGTCGTATAACGGTTTTTGTTGAGTCTCTGTGCCTTCATGACGCACGCCGACAGATTGCCAACGATAGAAAGCTCGATAAAGCAAGATTTCGTAAGTTTTCAATCCAACAGTCAACTATCGCCAAATTCTTATATCAGCATTTTCTCCGTTTTGCTTTATTTTCCACCCGTCATCTTTTCCAATACCTTAAAGAAAAACTGCGAGCTGCTTCGACGTGAACTATCAGCGGAATAACCACTCAGTATGGTCAGGGTATCTCGGTTGCGGCTGGTCAATCCTCCCTTGCACCTCGCAGAATGCTCCCATACAACCAAACGTCTCAAACAGCTTCTGACGAAGCCCTACTCTGCCTTCTCATGGTAGTTTTCCACCGAAGTGAGAGGACGAAGAGACTATATCGGGGGCGTAACCAGGTTGATGAACCACTGGCAGTTTATATAAGGGTGTATGATTCGCTGAACTCGACACCTGCTCCCAATGAATTGCGGTTTTCATATATCGCCCGCTGTCTTGTGAATCAGACTTTGGTCAGCCCAAGGCTCCGGTTGCAAACTCCTTAAGAAAATTCACCTGCTTTGGCCTGGGCAGTCTAGCAGTACCACCCCCACCAGCAAGTCACAGACCTTTTTCCCAATATGAAACACGTGTGATAATCAGAAGACGGGGCGAAAACCAGTCGTCAAGGGCTGCTGTTCACTGATAGGAACCGTTAACCCTGGACTTGGAACGGCGAATCACACAAGGCCGCACTAGGTCAGAAGTGCTATTGAACCCAATGACAGCAAAGCTACCTACAGCCGATGGTCGGAGGTGGGTGTCTAGGGTTGCGGCTGGTCACCCTTCCCTTACCCGTTTAAACCGTACAGTGAACATCTTAATCTTGGTTCGCCCCAGAATTCACCGAAAGCGGTTGAAACCAATGCCAATGCTATCAAAAACTAAGGAACACTCGTTAAACTCAAAAAGCAAATTGTGCGATTTAATCGACCTAAGCGGTGACTAAAAAACCAGCATATAATCACGCATTCAAATGCACATCGGCCGTTTTACTTCCAATTACAATCCCAATTTACGAGGTGACCTATCCCCCATGACGGCGATTAACATTAGACCGTAGGCAGATTGCAGTTAAAAAATAGATTATCGTTCGGCAGGACCCATAGTGTTCAACTAACAGTTGAGGTTAGCAATGGATCGATGAACTCAATGTCACGGATATCTGGTTAGGTTGAAGGCTAGATCTAAACACATTACCCTGAGTAGTTAACGGTTTGCACTTATCAGCTGTATTGCTTATTGAGGAAAATCGCAATCCGACGAAGAACATTATCCAGGATCAGTCCATTGAACCAACCGAACCGATCCGGTGGACTCAGTAAAAGCATATCGAAAACGGGCGACCACAATGAACAAATGACTGACTAACTAAAAAGACACAGCAGAACCATAAAATCCTTACCTGTTGGTAGGAAATGCATGTAATCGGAGAATGCTTCAATGCTGTCTCCGAACGCGTGTTGTCCCGAAGATCCAATTTGGTACCGACCAAAATTATGGGTGTGTTCGGGGCAAAGTGGGCCACCTCTTTAGACCACTTCCCTTCAACGTTCTCGTAAGAAGATGTTCCCACGAGTGAGAAGCAGATAATAAAAACATCGGTCTGGGGGTATGATAAGGGTCGCAGACGATCATAATCCTCTTGGCCTTAAGAAAACGGTGAATAAGTGGTCCAAGTGGCTTACCAGCTGTGTCCCATAATCCCAAGTTTACAGGTCTTCCGTCTACCATCACATTAGCTGAATAGTTGTCAAACACGGTTGGAACGTATTCCCCGGGGAAGGTGTTATTCGTATAACTTATTAAAAGGCACGTTTTACCGACACCTCCATCACCGACAACAACACATTTGATAGCTTGCATATTCTTCAGCAAAATAAGATCCACGAGCCCGACCGTGCACCACTAATCGACACCGCGATGAAAACGAACGACACCAGACGCGAAACCGAAACCAAATCAAATCCAGCGCGCTATTTTCAGTTCAGTTCAATGTCCAATGTCTAATGTCCAGTTTACAGGCGGAGAAAGCTCGTTGGCTTGTAGTTTGCCTGTTTTTTGATCTATACGGTAAAGTCTGATGTTCGGAAATTTCTGTTCTTAATTCGTTTGTTCTTGTAANTCGGTCTGGGGGTATGATAAGGGTCGCAGACGATCATAATCCTCTTGG